CCTTGAAAACCCTTGAACCCTTGTCAAGGGTAAGGGTTTTCCAAGGGTACAAAATGCCAACCCTTACCCCTACCCTCCGTACCCTTACCCCAGACCCTCCAGGGGTTTTGAAACCCTTGACAATCACTACCCATTATTCGCCTAAATTCAACAGCGTCAACCTGCGTTAACGCCTGTCACTGATGTGACTGATCTTTTACTCCAATTGGTGGCCGTCTTGGCGGCAACGCACTGCATAATCGGCATAAGAAAAGATATCTCAACCGCTCACCCTCAGTCACTCGTTTATTGAAGATCGACAAGCCTCAGCCTGTTAAAATCATGCCCAGGAAAGGCTTGAGTACTCCACCGGGGATCCTTAGCAAAGGTGCTTGAGGCATCTTTAGAGCCTGAGCAAGGCTGTTGGATCACTCTGCATCGATACAGATATCCATGAGAGTCAATGGTTTATTTGAGTTTTTGCAAGCAATCGGACCCCTCAATTTTCTGTTTCATCTCGAAATCAAGAGTTTGTCTGCGATGTAGATCAATGCTATGTATGTATCAAGAAATGCAGTCGTTACTTTTAGTTAATTGAATTTATTGCTATGGGCAAGCTACACCCTTATCCAGCGTTATGCTTCGGATAAGGAGTGTTTGACAGGTATCTCGGCGAGAACAAGGTCATTCGTGCCAGGAAAACCCATTCCAACTTGAATACTGGACTGCAGTATGATTTAGGTAGAGATACTTGTACTAGGCGTCGTTGAAAGATGTAGAAGGTGGTGCAAGGAAGTCAACGATCTTAATACTATTCGTGTCGTGGCACACGTAGCAAAGTCTACCTGAGACTGGGCAAACTGTAGCCTGTCGACGTCCGCCGTCCATTGCTTCCAAAAGGCTAATCCTGTAATCCTCATGATCGGCATCCTCTCCACTCGTGGGTCCGATAGAGCATTCAATGGCACTGTCCGTTGACCACCACATGAAGGTTTTGTCTCCACAAACGCGGTACGGCGAATAAGACGACTCGAACGGAATAGGGAGGTAGTATTTGCGAGTGGGACGGAGAGTGGATGAAGGAGGGTCATCGTGAGCGAATTGAATTTCATATCGATTGAAAGGTGAAAGGCGAGCACCCTGGGCTTTGACGAGAAGATCAAACCATAATGAATGTACGGTTCCAGCGTACCAGTCGCAAGTACCCGTACATTCGAATTCACGGAAAAAATCAGGATTTTGGAAGTCGCTATAGATGATGCTGAGTCGAGGTAGCACAGACATAGTTGAGTATGGCTCTGCGAAGAACGCCTGGGCATTTGGGTGGAGAGGTGGGATGTCCCACATGGAAATGCCCTTTCTTCCAATCAAAACGACAATGTCTCCTGAAACAATTACCTAAGTCATGAATGAGATTTGACAAATCGAAGAAACGACAGGCACTCACCTTATGAGGGAAAAAGACGGTTAGCCAAGCTGCCCATTCGTCTGTCACGAAGTTCCAAACTTTGACCATAGGACCGTCCACTACAATTAGTCGATCCCCACAGATGGAAGTGAAATAGTTATCGGAAGTTTTTCTCACAGCGAAGCCACCTATCTTGTTGAAAGCTGGGTTTTCTTCAGCGAAGATAAAGCTATGAATCTCATAACGCACGTCCCTAAGTGTCTATTTACTTTCCAATTAATAATAACAGAGCATATCAAAGTCTTACCAAGCAGATGTTGGGCTGTTTCCACTATACTTGGTGACGCATACTCTTATTCCAAGCCCGTCAGATGTTGGATAGGCTGTGAAATATCGGCAGGATCCCGAAATTGTCGCAAGGGGTTCGGTTGGAGACTTGGAAGCATCAAGGAGATCCCATATAGCTACGACTTCTCGACATAGAGTGAGTAGATATCGGCCCCCAGGTATGAGGAAAATTTGAGAGCAAAGAGCGGAAAAGTAACCAGGTGGTCGGAAGGGCTTATGTGTTTTGTATGTAGGTAGAAGTGTCAGATTCTGTGAATGTGCCTTTGCAATAGCGCAGACCCATCTTTCAGGGCCCAAAACAGCGTATTCGAGCTCTAGAAGACTCATTTTTGACATAGAGAATGAGTGTGTGATAACACAATTCTCGACACACATTCTCATCAGTGCGTTAATCCAAACGGTTCGAAGAGATATAGCTTCAGCCATAGCTTTGCAAGTCTATGGCATGAATAACGTAACATAAGTCTGTACAATGTCGCTGAATAAAACATCCTAACCTTCCGAAGAGCAATAAGGTCGGGTGGACTAACAAAACATAAGATGGCCAGGTGTGTATCAAATGGAAGATTTAGAAAATCCAATCTTTCCAGTTGATCCAGATCGCCAGCGATAAGATTCGGCTGTACTGAGCCTCCTGACATGATAGCGTAATAATGTGTTTCCTGGGTTGAGAATGGTCGACTTGTGGCCTTTGGTTACTGATAGGTATTGAGGAATGAGTCGGAGAAGAGATTTAGGCAGTTAGGACCTAGGTGCGGCCGCAACCTAGCCGTTCTATAATTGGGCAGTGTCAATTGTTCCCAGTTATAGTTGTCTCACCTGGTAAACAAATGACAACCGATTTGACTGGCCGCACAATCATTGAATCAAAACTCTGTTTCATCACATGCACGCATTTTTTTAGAAGGTAATCGATCATCGATCATCCCTTGGAGTCAACCTCAAAGTCCAAGTCGATTTGCTGCCTCTTGCCAGTTGTCCGAACTTCCGTATCACTTTCTTCAAACTTTTATAGCAGGGCTATCACAATTTTACATACTAGGAAACTAACATATGGATTGACCCTCTTCAGGTTCAGCTCATTCAAATTCGACGCTCATCGGTTACACCATCGTTATCATACGACTACTACTGTTTGACCCAAGTATCTTTATTGGCCTCGAAGTATTCGCGCAAGGTGTGCTTCCCAACGACTTTTTTACTCTCGTCCGCGTTGAAGGCATCCTCTTCCTTTCCTTTAGCAATTGCTGACTCGAGGTCGACCAGGTAGTCAGCGTATTCTGCGTCTAACCCAAACCCAATGTATGCATTCTTAACATCATCTACTGAGATTCTCCTGTAAGTGATCTTCCTCCCAAGTATCTCAGTCAACAATTCAGCAGCCTATACATCAAGAGTTTACTTATATTAGCGGCTCATGCATTTATGCTTTGGATTTACTCACCTGGACGTACGAAAACAACTCTGGACCAAAGATATAATAATCCTTGTTTGGGCTTATCTTGGAAACTAGAGCGTCGTAGGCGGCCTGTGCAATGTCTTCGACCGAAACGAAAGGAACACGTCCATCTTTCGCCAAACCAGAAGCTTCATTCTGCTCCCGAATGCTCGGGGCAAATAAAGTACTAAAATTCTCTGTGAATGTGGCTTCAGCACTTGTCGTACTTCGGAAGTGGAGTGTAGAGATACGTACGCATGAACCAAGTGGGACGGAGCACGGCATAGTCGACCTTGACGTCAACAAGGTACTTGTGGACCTTCCCCATTACTGGGGCCCCAACGTCTACTTGAGACGCGCTCAAGAGGACGAATCTCTTGACTCCTTTGGAGATGGCAAGATCAATGAACGGCTTGACGATAGTTAACTGATCGATGACCGATGGCATAACAAGATACACTCGGTCGATGCTGGAATCCGCCTTGAAAGGGTTTTCGAAAGTCTCATCGTCAAACCAATCGAATTTGACTGCTTTGTATGGGCTAGGTGCGGTACCGCTTCGGGAAGTAATGAGGACAGAATGATTTGCTTCCTTAAGAAGACGAGAAAGAATAAGGCCTGTTTTGCCCGTGCCGCCTGTAACGAGGATTGTCATGATAGTGGTGAATAAAAGATGCTGCAGAGGTGCAAGCGAGATATGGCTCCTTTTATCAGGAGTGTCTTGTCCGTCAGATTACTCAGGGTTGCCAGATGCCGAACATATCGCAACGTCATTTGTTGTCATACATATAGAATGGTCCCTTTGCCAAGCAATGTACCAAAGCTTGCAATTGATGACTGATGCTCCCAAACCGTCTTAGTAATGCATATAAATTTCGTTCAGGGCAAGTTCAAGATGAAGACTGAGAACCACCAAAAAATCAAAGACTGTCAAACCCACCCGCTTTCAAGTCGTCTGACTAAAGCTCACTCTCGGTCATCGAAAATAAAGTGCCCGTCCTTACCAACAATTATTTGTTTTTTACATTGACCTCAATGAGAACCTGAAGCTCCTGCCAACATGATAACGTACTAATTTCCTTTAGCAACTTCTATGATTCGATGTGGACCAGCCATTCAGTGTAATCTGAGACCCAACATATATCTTTTTAGCTCTGAGATTCTGCTATAAGTCATCTTCAAGTTCCTCCCAAGTATCTATCTCAACGGTTCAGCGACCTATACATCAAGAGTTTACTGCTGTTAGCGCTCGTACATTTATGTTTGGATTTACTCGCTTCGTCGTACGAAAACAACCCTGGACCAACGATTGAACGATATAGTAATCCTTGTTTGGGCTTATCTTGGAAACTCGAGCATCGTATCCTGTGCAATCTCTTCCCAAGACAAAAGGGATGCGTCCATCTTTCGCCCCAGGATTCAGAACCCTCCCGATGCTCTGGTAAAATAGGATTGTCTATGAAGCTTCAGAGCTTCAGCACTTGTCGGAAATTTGTAGAAAGGGTGTCAATGTCCAGCTGATTTTATCTTACCAATGAATGGGATGACCAGCCTCTACTAGATGTAAAATCTGTCGACCTCCGAGTCTCGAAGAACCTCCGATATAGCAGCGAAATATGTTGCATCGAGCGCTCAGCAGCTAGCTAATGGCGGGTCAAGCAACATTCACACGAAATTCACTTTTTACTGAGTGTCATGCATCCATGGGTCATTTCATATAAGAGAAAGGATGAATTTCTACACCAAGTCCGAGTTTTATTAAACGGAACACTAAAACAAAACCAAAAACATCCCGGTATACAAACAGGCCCCCTGAGAAAAAAATTTCTCTCTGTCTGGGAGTCGAACCCAGCTTTCGCGCGGATCGGAGGCGTCTTAGAGATGACAAGCGCGTGTACTAACCGATATACTAACAGAGACGACAACGACAACAGACTGGCAGGCTGTATGTATAGTCCGATTTTATTTGCTCGCGGCTTGCTCGCGGCGTGTGTTACATGCAGTCTACTGATATAGAGGTTTGGGAGAGAGGGAAGAGAAAAGACGACAACACTTTGGTATTATGGACTGTAGATGTGGGTTTCAGCGCAACTGGGAATTGTAGGAGTAAAATTGCTCACCAGTTGTAGCTAATAACCAATTCATTTCCTAATGCCCTATCCTTTGGTTCTGTAATTTGGGAACGCTTCCATGGGCCATGCCAAAGCTAACGCTGCGAAAATATGGTTTCATCTCCGACCATCAAGCCTCCTCGTGTACGTGAAGTAAGGCTTGGGTCATTTCAAGAGTTAGCACTGCAATTCAACGTTAACTTCTTTTTTTTTTTCTAGTCTGGAACGTTTTTTTCATTTGCTGAAGATTCCAGGAGTTTTGCCAATATCAAATTATCAATAGTACTTGATTCCGAACAGTGGCCTTTTTCCAATGTTCCATGTCCCTGCCTGATGTCAGTGGGAGCAATTAAGGACGCGACGAACAAGCACGTGGGTCGCGGACGCGTCTGCTTTGTTTAGCTTTGTGTATTTGTAGTCCGATCTAAAGTTACCAAACCCTGACCGTCACAAAGGACTCCTTGTTCCTTCCACTGTCCAGCTGTTGCAGTGTCGATAGTCCACCTCTGCGATACCCATCCACACACACACACACTTTCTCAGATATATCATATACTTATATCTTTACGCGATCTCGTCCTTGGAACAGTCAAAGGATTTGAAAGAGGATTGACATGTCCTCAATCCCAGTATGTGGTTTTCTACCTCTATCGTTGTCGACAGCTCACAGGATATATTCTTCTCATCGAAGCTCAAGAGAACGACAACACGGGTGACACGATCTGCAAAAGATACCGAAAATGTCAACGCCCGTCCTTCTCGTTTAAACACACGTGCAAAATCTGCGCTCGCTGCTGCTACTAGTGCTTCCGCCGCCGTTGCTGCCACTGGAGCTGTAAACACCCGTGCCACCGCATCCACCGCCGCATCCAAGGCTAAGTCGGTGGCTTCAACGACTAGTACTGAGGCTGCAGGTGCTAAGAGGAAAAGGGAGGTATTGGTTGAAGTTACGGGTTTGGTCACCAATCATAAAGGAAAGAGTACCGGTGCGGCGGGTGGTTTTAAGGGCAAAGAAAAGGAGGCGGCGGGTAATGCAACGGTCACAACGAAGAACGTTAAAGTAGCTGCGAAACCCCCTGGCAAAACGGGAGGGGTGCGTAGCGTTGTCGGTCGAGTCCTTAGGTCCGCAAGTGAGAGTACTACCATCTCGAACTCGAAGACCGATACAGATGTAACCGCATTCGAGAAAGATGTGAAGATGGAAGTTGATGATCCCCTTGATGTACCTCCGCCTCCTCCTGTGGCGTCATCAGTGTCATCCAAACGTTTACCTGCAGTGGTAGGCGAGGAGGAGGAGTTGGGAAGGGTTTTCAAAAGACGCCATACCGAAAAGCAGGGGCTCGCGGTGAAAGAGTCGGAGGCCTTGGATGAGAGCCAGGCAGAAGCGGATAAAGTTGCCGCTGATCTGGTCGAAGAAATTGTACCTCCTTCGATCCAGCTGTGGGATGATTTAGACGCTGAAGACTGGGATGACCCAGTTATGGTCAGCGAGTATGTCGTCGACGTCTGTGTTTATTTGAAGCAAGTCGAGGTTCGTTTGCTTTCTTCGATTTATTTGCAGAAATTTGATATTTATCGCGTCTTCTAGTTGGCGATGCTTCCAAACCCAAACTATATGAATAAGCAGGGAGAAATCACTTGGGAACACCGTGGTATCCTGATCGACTGGCTACTCCAAGTCCACGCGAAATTCGGGTTGACGTCCGAATCGCTCTTCCTTACTATCAACGTCTTGGACCGTTTCCTAGGGCTCCGCACCATTGCCATTACCAAACTCCAGCTCGTAGGCCTAGCGGCCTTCTTGGTTGCAACCAAATTTGAAGAGACCTATGCGCCCTCCGTTAAAGAAATCGCTTACCTCGCTGATGACCAGTATTCCGTGGAGGAGATACTGAAAGCGGAGAAGTACATTTTGAAAATGTTGGAATGGGATTTGAAAGCGCCTGGACCAATGGGGTGGTTGAGGCGGGGAAGTAAGGCTGATGAATGTGAAGTTCAAGCAAGGACTATTGCCAAGTACTTGCTTGAGGTTGGGTGTTTGGAGAGGAAGTTGATTGGAGTTGTGCCGTCCAAAGTGTCAGCCGCTGCTTTGTGGCTTGCGAGATTAACTTTGGGAAGGGAAGAATGGGTAAGTGAAAAAGACTATGTTTGATTGATTCAGAGATGCTAAATGAATGGTTCGTTTCCAGACGGCCAATCTGGAACATTATACGACTTACTCTGAACAAGAACTATTGCCGGTTGCAGATTTGATGCTGGAGTACATTGTTACAACCCCTATTCCGCATGAATCGTTATTTAAGAAATATGCGCACAAAAGACATTTTCGGGTATGACTTTCTTATCGTTTCCATCATGAACGAGCTGATCATTTGTATAAATACAGTGCAGCGCGTATATGGTGCAGTGGAGTCTAGCTCGTTGGCCTGAGAATGGACAGGTTGATCTTAGCAAGGACTTGGTGCATCTCAAGGAAGAGATTGTAAAACAGCGAGAGCTTGAGGCACAGGACGCTGTGGCCTGATGCTATGGCAGTCTTGAACTATGTAGTGATATAATGAGAAGATAAGATTGATGTGATTCAGATAACATATGTAATCTAGTCAGATCAGACTCGGAGTCATCTGTGGTCACCTCCGTTCTACCATGGTCAAGGGTAATCCAAAATCTTCAGCTAGCTCGGCTACACGAAAGAAGCATGCAGCTAAAAAGACTGCCACCCCGGATGAGCCTCCATCGCTTCCAAACGCTGCCCAGAAAAGACCTAAAACAAAAGCGGAACGCAAACTATCGAAGAAAGAGCCTCGGGTCAAGATGTACATCCCTCCTGTGAAACCTGCCCCAGTACAACCCGATCCGCTAGAAACAACAGGATTGGCGCGTACCTTACCTGCAGATCTATTGGTTGTGTTGAGGAATATCAGTAAAAAGGCACAAGTGACGAAGATCAGAGCCTTAGAGGAGCTGCAAACTGGATGGGTTGAGAAATGTATGAAGGATGAGGAGGGTTTGTTGGCCAATAAGTTGGTGGAGATGTTACCGGTGTGGGTATGTCCGTTTGTTGAACTTGTCTTCTGGAGTCGGAGAGAACATTGAATATTGATCACTGGCCAGTTGCACCATGTCGCGGCACTGTTTCTGCATCCATCGCGTCGTGTTCGTTTCCTTGCTGTGTCTCTGCACGCTTCGTTCCTCCGTATCTCAGCTGTACGCGATCAGATCCTGTTTTTCCTCCGGGAAACGGCATCTCCTTCTCAAACAGAAAGTATCTTGGGCGCTTGGTCTTTAGCATCGTATGATGTTGACCGTGCAGTGTCTACCACGGCACTCAAAGCATGGAAGGAGACTATTCTTTCTCCCTCAGAGATAAAGGACGGTTCCTCGTCGTCTGGCGAACAACTGGTTCTGGTTGATATCTTCCTTTCATCCATCGGAGCGTTCGTGCAAAGGACTGCGTTGGATCCGTCTGGAATATATGCCTATCTGAACCCTCTGCCACCCGTTGCTACTGTCGGTACGCTCCCACCTGGGAAGAAAGGCGGGAAACTATCTGCAATGACTACACCTCGTAAGGACGATAGTGGTAGCCAGACCCCTCGTTCTAAGGTAGATGAGCAAGAGGAGGGCGAGCAAGACCGGAAGGCCAGATTGAGGATCAGCGCGTTGGGGGCTACACAATGGATCGTCGGTATGTCTCTGTCTACCACCCGTTTTCCACTTCATTAAATCAAAGTCTTACACATCTTTAGGTACGACATCCAGTTTATCCGAAGACCTTATTGCTTTCTTTTCCAACCCCGCTTTATGGTCGGCTCTGCATCCTAATGAATCATGTCCATGGATCGAAGGGTTCGAGAGTTTTGGATTTGCACAACCAAACGTACGCAAGGCCGCTTGGGGTCTAGTGCATACCCTACTCAGTACACAGAAAGGTTCTCTCAAATTAGAAGATCTAATACAACACTCCTTAGGCTGATATTTTTGCGTTTAGGCCAATTGGAAACCATTGTTCCGGTTTTAGGTATTGCAATTTTGCGTTCGGCATGGGTGGAACGGGACCCTACAGTTCAAGGAGTCATGTGGCAACCGCTTTTCATGTTCCTCAAACGTATGTACCATACCTTTGACCACCATTGACCTCAAATCTTCTCATACTTCTCCAGAATTTCCGCATTCATGGATATTAGATGATACTAGGAAGGATGACGAGGGAGATGGCGACTCTGGATCAGAAGCAGAGAACGACGATGAACCACAACATGCGGTGAAGGCTGTTGTTGTTTCTTCTTCCTTGCCGCAGAAACAACCGTCACAAGCGTACCTAGAATTCCTTCAGTTTTTACAATTGGGATGTTCTGGTTCTCCGTTACAAGGTTATCCGACAGTCGTGATTACTCTTTCAACAATTCCGTCTTCCGTATGTTGTTTGATTCAAACAAGCGTCGCTTATCTCACATAAGTGAATACAGGTCATGACATCCTCCACCGTCACCGGCGCTTCACCTATTTCAGAATTCTTCACCTCCTTCTGGGCAGCCGTCGACGGTCGAGCACTGAGCGCTCTCCATCGCTCAGCCACATCAGCCGCTTTCCTCTCTTCCTTACTAGAATGCATGATCTTTCTCATCAAACGGATGAAATCCAACCATTCCCGCCACCCAGATCAAGCTTTAACTACAGCCACAACTTCCGACCTAGGAGGACCTTCACTTTCCGTTTCCGAAGCTACAAGAGAGTTAGTGAAAGACCAATATAGTCGTATCTGGAATGAATTAGGCAGTAAAAGGTTGAAGGTGGAAGAGAGGGCT